CGGAAGCTTACCGGGGAGGAGGATGACGAGACCAAGGGCTACGGCATACGCGGGGCCAACGTACTACGGCGAGGAAACTCGCCTCAAGGCAAGTCCGTCGTTCACCTCTGTGACGGACTATGCAAATCACACCGATTACAGGTGAGGTCCAGTTATGCTGCGGAGGCACTTGCAGCCGCACATAACCTTGATGAGTGTTACCCTACGCTCATTACTCTCCATGAGCTTAAGGCAGGGGCCTTGACTCCACGACAACTACGAGATATGCGTGAAGTTGGAGGCCTTGCTATCAAAGTCTCTCTGACCATAGACGCTGAGTCCGTCTACAAATCTTTATCAAGCAGGGATCTCAAAATACCCACAGAACGGACTCTGCTTGGACATATCAGTTGGATACGTGAGCTTATGGATATAGGTATAGTACATAACGTGCAATGGTGTGATACTAGGGATATGACCGCAGATGGGCATACAAAGGGAAGCATCGATCGGGAACTGCTTCTGGAAGTGATGTCAGGCACTCAGTCATTTAAGTATGACGTGAAGCAATTTGTTCCCTTTCGGGGTCCCGAGGACAGAGACAAACCTAAGTCTAATCAATTTTAGTCTGTCCTTGTTGCCCTCGTGGTCCAGTTTGCCAGCACGGGCGCCTACTATAAAGGCGCCCCTCTAGTTGCTCGGAAACGAGCCTCATATTTCACGCCTGGCAACGAGCCGGCTTCATACAACTCAGGCTCTTTGCCTTAATACACATTTGCTTGGTGAGGTATGGCCTAATTTTGGCCTACCTCTAACTAGGCCGATAGCCCTTCATTATTTGAAGGGGCTGTTCTGTATTTGCGTGAAATACTTCGCGAGGAAACTCGCCTTACAGTCTGGCGTTTGGCCAGTCTGTACGCACTGTTTTCATTTCTTTGCAAACAGTCGTGCGCGCGAATTTTGCGTGCGACTATGCTCTCCGTCTCCTCCCCTCCCGACTTTGAGGGTAGCTCTTTGGGAGATGTTATAGTATCGGGAGCATAGCTCGCGCGCCGCTGCCTTGGGCTCAAGGCACGCGCGCCCTATTTGCCCGGACACTGCTTGTGTTCGCTATGTGCTGGAAAGATCATTACATCGATCTTATCCTATCTTATCCGCCCATTCCTCATACTGTACCTTCACAGCAGAGCGATGGACGCTATTTGCCATCCGATGTCCACGGTCAGCGCCTTGGAATCGGATGCTATTTGAGTTACCAGGCTCACTTTCGACTTGGGGCACCGGTGCGTCGCACCTCCCCCGTGTCCCTGCTCCCAGAGATCCGACGTTAGGATCGTTCCAGTGCGGTGTCCCCCTCGAAGTCCCGAAACCACTTCCCGGGCTGGAACTTTGCACCTCCGATCGTCTTTGGACAGCCCTGGAGCTCGAAAGCCACCCCCAGTGTCGGGTGTTGCTAGAAGTGCCCCTGGCCCAAGGCGCCCCCAGGATTCCCTGAGTGTCCCAGACGGCCTCCAGAGCACCCCCCACGAGGCCCAGAGGCCCCCATGGGGCTCAACAGTGGAGCGAAAAGCTGGGGGTACCTTGGGCCAGGGGCACTTCTAGCAACACCCGACAGTGGGTGGAAGCTGCGGAGATCTGGCCCAAGGCCCACGGGAGAATGCCCTCCCCACCCCGGCGGCAGAATGGCCGATTGGCTCTGCGGGGGTGGTGGCGCACACGCCGCGCCGTGGAGCCTCGGCCTGCGGGCGGCGGTGCCCTGCCGCAGCTCAACGGTCCCAGACCGCCAACGTCTCCGGCGCAGTGTCCTCGTCGTCCTCGGCGTCGGGGGGCCGTCCGCGGGATCCGGGACCGTCAACTATCTGCCGGGGGCGAGGAAAAACGTGTGCCCGGACGGCGGTCCCAGGCGCTCGGGGGCCCCGCAGGGAGCATAATCCAGGCGTGGGAGCTCTGGTGATGGCTCTTTCCCCCTTCCCTGTCCCCTCCGTTCACGTCCTCTCCCCCCGCCTGCCTCCTTGCCTCTCTCCCTCTCCCTCTCCCTCCTCCTCCTCCTCCTCCTCCTCCTCCTCCTCCTCCTCCTCCTCCTCCTCCTCCTACTCCTCCTCCTCCTCCTCCTCCTCCTCCTCCTCCTCCTCCTCCTCCTCCTCCTCCTCCTCCTCCTCCTCCTCCTCCTCCTCCTCCTCCTCCTCCTCCTCCTCTCCTCCTCCTCCTCCTCCCTCCTCCTCCTCCTCCTCCTCCTCCTCCTCCTCCTCCTCCTCCTCCTCCTCCTCCTTCTCCTCCTCCTCCTCCTCCTCCTCCTCCCCCTCTCCTCCTCCAGTCTCCCTCCTCCTCCTCTCTCCCACGCCCTCATCTCCTGATGCCATCTGCCCTCGCCCGCGCCCTCCCTCCAGCTCTCTCGCCTCTGGACCCCGCGGTTCGGGAGCATGGCCCGCAGGGGCAGGGCTCCACCTGCCTGCAGGTGCATTGCAGCATCGTTGATGCATTATGGGGCTACTCTTGTTCTCGTCTGCCTCCTCCTCCTCCTCCCCTTCCTCCTCCTCTTCCTCCTCCTCCTCCTCCCTCCCTCCTCCTCCTTCTCTCTCCTCTCCTCCTCCTCCTCCTCCTCCTCTTCCTCATCCTTCTCCTCCTCCTCCTCCTCCTCCTCCTCCTCCTGCTCCTCCTGCCCCTCCTCTTCCTCCTCCTCCTCCTCCTTTTCCTCCTCCTCCTCCTCCTCCTCCTCCTCCTCCGGCTCTCCCTCCTCTGGCTCCTCTTCCGCGCTGCGCGCAGGGGCTGCCGGCCATCTCGAAGGCTCTCGCCGATGGGGTGACGCCCGTGGTCACCTACTGGGCGAGCAAGGAGCGGGGCAGACGGCCCAGTTCTTGTCCTCCACGTGCTCCCCTTCCTCTGGAGGAGGAACCCAGAGGATGACAGGGGGAGGATGAGGAGGAGGAGGAGGAGGAGGAGGAGGAGGAGGAGGAGGAGGAGGAGGAGGAGGAGGAGGAGGAGGAAGGAGAGGAGGAGGAGAGGAGGAGGAGGAGGAGGAGAGAGGGAGGAGGAGGAGGAGGAGGAGGTAGTGGAGGAGGAGGAGATGGAGGAGGAGGAGGAGGAGGAGGAGGGGGAGGAGGAGGAGGAGGAGGAGGGGGAGGACGGAGATGAGGAGGAGGAGGAGGAGGGGGAAGAGGAGGAAGAGGAGGAGCAGGAGGAGGAGGAGGAGGGGGAGAAGGAGGAAGAGGCGGAGGAGCAGGTGGAGGACGAGAAGGAGGGGGATGAGGATGAGACGTGAGGGAGAGGAGCAGGCGGAGGAGCAGGAGGAAGACGGGAAGGAGGAGGAGGATGAGGTTGAGGCAGGAGGGAGAGGAGGAGCGGGAGGAGGGGGGCGGAGTGGCCTGTGGTTTGAGCATCTTGTCGGTGTGGGTTACCCGAGGTGCGTACGCCCCGCTGCGTGCGTAGAGGAGGGAGGGGGGCATCCAGTAGGAATGAGTGGTAGCCTGGAGCGTGAAGACGCTTACACCACCAGTGCTACCTGGGCCCCTTCGGTCGAAGGCGACGCCCTGGCAGGAGCGCCCTGCACGGGAAGGCGCGTCCTGGCAGCAGGGGCGGCGCGATCTCCTCGTCGTACATTCGCTCGCCGCCCGCCTGCTCGCCCATTGCCCGACCTTTCTGCTGTTCTGCCCTCGCTTCCCAGCGCCCCCCCGCCCCTCTGGCCGCCCACCGCCCCCACGCCCCCCCACTTGAGCCCCTCAGCGTCGTGGTCCTCCCTGCCCCTCTCGCCCTGGCCCTCGCCCTCGACCTGGCGCCGGCTGCCTCCCCCCCCCCCGCCCGCGGATCTGGGCGCCACCCGCGCTCCGCCCCCGTCTCCGCGTCGCCCCTCTCCCACGCCCTCATCTCCTGATGCCATCTGCCCTCGCCCGCGCCCTCCCTCCAGCTCTCTCGCCTCTGGACCCCGCGGTTCGGGAGCATGGCCCACAGGGGCAGGGCTCCACCTGCCTGCAGGTGCACTGCAGCATCGCTGATGCATTATGGGGCTGCTCTTGTTCTCGTCTGCCTCCTCCTCCTCCTCTTCCTCCTCCTCCTCCTCCTCATCCTCCTTCTCCTCCGTTGACTTCGTCATATGATCATGCTCATGCTCATGCCCCCCCTGTCTCTCCTCCTCCTTCTCCTCCTCATCCTCCCTCTCCTCCTCCTCCTCCTCCTCCTCCTCCTCCTCCTCCTCCTCCTCCTGCTTCTCCTCCTCATTCTCCTTTTCCTGCTCCTCCTCCTCCTCCTCTCCTCCTCCTCCTCCTCCTCCCTCCTCCTCCCTCCTCCTCCTTCTCCTCCTCCTCCTCCTCCTCCTCCTCCCTCCTCCTCCCTCCTCCTCCTCCTCCTCATCTAACTCCTCTCATCCTCCTCCTTCCTTTCTCTCCTCCTCCTCATCATCCTCCTCCTCCGTCCAGCCTTTCCCCCTCCTCCTCCTCCTCCTCTCCTCCTCCTCCTCTCCTCCTTCCTCCTCCTCCTTCCTCCTTCTCCTCTTCCTCCTCCTCCTCCTCATCATCATCATCTAAGTGCTCCTCCTCCTCCTCATCATCCTCCTCCTCCTTCTCCTCCTCCCTCTCCTTCTCCCCCGTTTCCTCCTTCTGCCCCTCCCGCAGCGGCAGTTGTGCGCTGGATTTGAGTGGACGAGTGGGCTTGTCGGGTGTACGTTGTGAGACCTGTATCGGCGCGGATGCACGTCAGGTCCAGGGGCTTCGTTGCCTGGCCGGGGGGGGGGGAGCTCCCGCGCCGTCGGGCGCAGCACCGCCCCGCGGGCATGGCCGAACCGTTCCCGCCCGTGCCTGGCCTCGCCCGCCCGCGCCCCTCGGCCCTCCTCCCCCTTCTCCTCCTCCTCCTCCTCCTCCTCCTCCTCCTCCTTCTCCTCCTCCCTCTCCTTCTCCCCCTTTTCCTCCTTCTGCCCCTCCCCCCCCGTGCCGCAGCGATCCTGCCTCGACGGCCGCCTCGCGCGGGGAATCCGCGCGCAGCGGGCGGCCGGGCTTGGGCCTCCCCCAGGGCCCCCGGCGCGGGGCCACACGATGGCGAGCTCGCCGGCGGGCTCGCCGCCGGCGCCGGCGCCGCCCGGCGGGGCGCAGGCGGCCTGGCTGCGGAGGGGGGGGTCGACTATAGACGTGCCTCCCCGCAGGGGGATCTTCGACGAAAAATAAAAGAAGCACCCCCAGAAATGCTCCAACATTGTCAAAAAATGTGTAAAACACTGTTCGTGGACGATGTTTTGACTGTTTTTGAATATTCCCCCTGTAGAGGGACAGGCCCGACTTGAGACTAGACGTAAGAGTGGCCTGTCGCTGGAGTGACCTTTGGTGCGGGCACAGATGGGTCCCCAGATGGCCGAACACGAAGCAGTAGCAGCTGCTTGCGCGCCAAGGTTTGGTCCCCCGCGGCCCCCCAAAAGTCGCGCACCAAAGGTCACTCTTACCCAGGGTCACTTGTTGCGTATAGCCGATGGGGCAGGCGCGGCACCTGGAGGGGCACCGTCAGGTCGGCGGTCTCGCCGGCCAGGCCACCTGGTCCGCGACCCTCCATGCGACCGTGCATCCGCGGGATCTCGCGGGTGCGCGGATAGGGATGTGTTCGCCGCTCGTGATTAGGGGGGGGCTTGACGACTGTTTGCCTTGTTGGGATCAAGCCGGGTAAAGCAAGGAACAAATGCAGATGAGTCGAGATAATTCCGCGAACCTCCTTGCATAGCCTAGCAAATCGACGTAAATCCGAAGATTCGAGTCGAGGGACAGAAGAAGTCGTGAAGCCCTGAACGAGAGGTTCGGAGGTTTGAGGTCTTCGGCCGCTTTCGTCGGTCCTCGGCGGTCTTGCAGCCTCAGCATGCCTCCAGCGGCTGCGCCTCGCCGAGAGGTGTCTGGGGGGCCCAGAGCGTCCCGAGCGGCCGCTGAAGGCCCGAGCTATGACCCGAAGTCCAGACGACGTGGGCCCCTGGCTCAGGAACGCTTGCCTTGCGTGTCGCGCTGCCCGCTATGGTCCACCTCGCCTCGGCGCGACGCGCTCACCGCGCCCAAGTCCCCAGACGTGAGCGCCCCGAGCCCTTCCCGGCCGCCCACCCCGCGGAGGGGAGCGACGCGCTGTCAGCTCCTTGGGCCGCCGCCACGACGCACTGACAGCAGAAGCTCCCGGCGATGGGCTCTCAGAGGGGGAGCGCATCGATCGGCCCCCCAATCGCCACGCCAGTGCACCGGCCCCGATGGCAGCCCTCCCCGCGCAGGAGAGCGTGCGGCTCCGCCATCGCGAGGGCCCCTCGTCGACCTGCCGGCGGCGCCTCGCCGACGCCCCGCTCGACACCGCCCCTCCCTCCCCCCGGGGCCGATCCAATTCTGCGGTCGGGAGGAGGAGAAAGAGGAGGAGGAGGAGGAGGAGGAGGAGGAGGAGGAGGAGGAGGAGGAGGGGAAGGGGGAGGAGGACGAGGAGGGCGACGAGGAGGGACGAGGAGGGCAAGTCGCTCGCAGGCAGCAGCACGTTCCCCCTCCCAAGGGCGAGGGCCTCGAGGCGGGATGCGTGGCGTGCCGCGGCGGCGGTGGCCCTGGCGACACCCCGTGCCCTGCGAGCCGATCGCGTGTCGCTCGCCTCCGAGGGGCGGGAGGCCGGGACGAGCCCGGGAAGTCCACGTCTGGGGGCGGACACGGACGTGGCTAGAGTCTAGCTGTGGCGAAGCGTCCTGACTGGTGTCGGAGTAGACGGGTCGGAGGAATTCGCACCACATCGCCGATGCATCGCCGCTGCATCGCGATCCTGGAGCCCGACGCCTCGCCCGATGCCCGGGCTCGACGTCGGTGCGGCCGGCTCTTCCGCGCCGACGTCGCCGATGCACCGCCGACGCGTCGCCGGGGCACCGCCACTGATGGGCGTGTTGTCCACCACCACCACCATAAGTTGGAGGGGGGGGTCCTCCTCCTCCTCCTCCTCCTCCTCCTCCTCCTCCTCGCCCTCCTCCTCCTCCTTCCCCCCTCCAACTTATGGTGGTGGTGGTGGTGGAAAACAGGCTCATCAACCACTGCTCAAGGGAGGCGAAACCACCCGGACCGGATAAGTGGCGTTGGCTAAGCGGCCTTGGTTTATTGAGCAGCCCTGCCCTGTCCGATTCCTTCTTGTGGTGCCTTCGCGTGTCGGCTTGGTTGTCATCGGGGTCGATCTTCTGCCCTCTAGATGCATCGGCGATGCATCGCCGATGCGGCGAGAATTCCTCCGACCCCGTCTCAGAAGCTGGACGACGGCTGGCAAATCCGTGGCTGCTGAAACGTAGCTCCGGGAACTCGTCTTTTTTTCTTCCGGGAAGCCGCCCGTTTACTAGCTATAGTGCGCTGCAGGCTATAGTGCGCTGCAGGCTTGACTCCGTGAAGCTGTTGCTTCCTCCCGGGAGGACCGTTCTATCAGCCACGGAGCTGCCAGCCCTCGCTCAAGGGCGTAAAAAACGCCCCCTACCCTGGTTGATGAGGCGCTGTGCGCTGAACCTCCTGTGGGCTGACAGGGTAACCCCTGCGTATCGCGCGTGCCGCGCGGCGTCCTGGCGGCTCTCTGGCCGGTGGGAGTTCCCAGGAGGTTTACGGACCACGGACTTGCAGCCCACCCTGATGGTCCGCTACCGAAAATTTCCGGTAGCGCTCCGCAGAGATCGGTCGCTACCGAAATACCGAAATGCAGCGCCCAATACCGGTATCAGACCGTTCTGAAATCCGCTATTTCAACGCCCTCAAACGAAGATCCAGTCGCTACCGAAATTCGGGGTGCGTCGAAATCGCTACCGAAAATTTCCGAAAATTTCCGGTACCAGACCATCTGGGGCAGGGTAGGGGCGTTTCTTCCTCCCTAAACTCGCCCAGCCGCCCGCGTGCTCCGACCCCGGCCGAGAGGCCTCCCTCTCGCTCGCGGCGCGAGCGGGCGGCTCGCCTCGCCCCCCCCGCAGGGCGGCCGCCGGAGGACGCGGAGTCGCGCCGCCGGCTCTGCGTGGCGCGGGGGTGTTCCCCCCCTGCCTTTCCGGAGTCGGTCTCGCCCTGCAGCAAGCAGAGGGGGAAAAGGCACACAGACACCATGGATCGTCGGTTCCCAGGAAAATATGAGAAGATATGGGGAAGTGGGGGGAAGACAAAAACCAAGAAACTATGGGGAACTGTAGGGGGATCCTGTTACTTGTGTGCATTGAGTTGTGTGTCCCAGGGCCCCTTCAATCAAGCAGTGGCGGAGCGTCCTGGCGTCGGAGGTGGACAGGCCTCCCACCCTGACACGCCGATTCGCGAATGGGCCGTGGCTGGTTCGCGAGGGAGCGTCGCGGCCGTCGTTTTTGCGGGCCCGGGTCCGTCGGTTTCGGTCCCAGGCCGTTTTCACTAAGGGGAGGTTCACGAAAGGGAGGTTGGTCCACCGCCGAGTGCCCCTCTCCCGAGTCGGTCTCGCCCTGCGTCAAGCAGTGGCGAAGCGTCCTGGCGTGCCCGTAGGCCTGCCGAACAGTGTTCTGAGAACTTTGTTTTGTGGTTCCCACGAGATCCTCTCAGAACAGTTCTGGCTGACTTTGTCTTGTGCTCACGCATGGGGCTTCTGTTCTAAGAACATTGTCGGGGATGGACAGGCCTCCTACCCTGACGCGTAGAGTAGTGATTTGTACGTGTTCGGTTCTCGAGAGGGCACCGCGGCCGTTATTTCCCAGGCTTGCGCCCGCCAGGTTTGGGCCGCCCGAGGTCGTTTTCACTACACCACGTTTTTCTCAAGGGAGGTCTGTCCATCCCCGACATTGTTTTTGTTCTAAGAACATGTCGTGGTAGGCCTATAGGAATGCCGGGGCGGCCGGTCCATGCTCGACTGCAGTCAGCGCGCCCAGCATGGACGCGTGCCTTGACCTGAGGCGCCCTCGTGGCACGCCCGCCGTGCCTTGATCTGAGACTCCCTCCTCCTCCTCCTCCTCCTCCTCCTCCTCCTCCTCCTCGCTCCTCCTCCTCGCTCCTCCTCCTCGCTCCTCCTCCTCGCTACTCCTCCTCCTCGCTCCTCCTCCTCGCTCCTCCTCCTCGCTCCTCCTCCTCCTCCTCGCTCCTCCTCCTCCTCCTCCTCCTCCTCCTCCTCCTCGCTTCTCCTCCACCGCCCGCCCCGTGTGCCGCGCCACCGTGCCCGGCCTCCGCGCCCGCCCTCCTGCCGGCCGGCACCGGTCGCCCGCCGCCCCCCCCAAAAATCCCCCCCTTTTTGTTCGGCCTCCGAGGGTAAAGCGGCAACGACAGGGGGGGGGGATACGAGCTCCTCCTCGCTCCTTCTCCTCCTCCTCCCTCGCTCCTCCTCCTCCTCTCCTCCTCCTCCTCCTCCTCCTCCTCCTCTCCTCCTCCTCCTCCTCCTCCTCCTCCTCCTCGCTCCTCCCCCTCCTCCCTCCACCGCCCGCCCCATGTGCCGCGCCACCGTGCCTGGCCTCCGTGCCCGCCCTCTGCCGGCCGGCACTGGTCGCCCGCCGCCCCCCCCCAAAATGCCCCCTTTTTGTTCGGCCTCCGAGGGTAAAGCGGCAACGACGGGGGGGAAAGCAGCAGTCATCCAATACAGGGGTGTTGTTGAGAGATCGCCGCATGCATGCATGTGTTTTTGTTTGCCGTATCGCATTGCACGCAGTATTGTGTCGATCATGCACTTGCTGTGTTCGCATGCCGCTGCCATTTTCATTCGAGTCCTGACGAGCCCCAGCAGGGGCGAAACGTTGACACGCGTACTGAAAAGGCACGGGCTTGAGAGCGCCATACGAGTAGGGTCAGCGGCAACGACAGGGGGGGATACGAGCACTTTTTTTGTTGGGGTGGAGGGCAAAGGGTGACATCTGAAGTGCTGTTTCGATTGATCTTCGAGGTCTGAATCTGCAAAAGGTCGACAGGGGGGGATGCGAGCACTTTTTTGTTGGGGTGGAGGGTGAAGGGTGAAATCTGAAATGCTGTTTCGATTGATCTTCGAGGTCTGAATCTGCAAAAGCTCGACAGGGGGGGATACGAGCACTTTTTTGTTGGGTGGAGGGCAAAGGGTGACATCTGAAATGCTGTTTCGATTGACTTTCGGGGTCTGAATCTGCAGAAGGTGGATCACAAGACGGATTGATTTTCGAGGTGCAACA